GCCCTACCAGGCCTCCCACACCCTCCTCGCCACTGGTTTTGATCACTTGTTGTTCCCTTGTCTCTGGGTTGGTTTACACCACTTCCTTTCCCCCCCTCCCCACCTCCCATGTCGCCCTGGAACCATCGGTCCAGTTGTTTTCTTCTCCCCACCGTTTATGCAGCCTATCTTATCTTGATAGACCTGCAGAGATAATAATATGCACATAAAATAGTGCCAAGCAAAGCGACAGCAACAAAATAAACCAATGACAAACAGAATAAAAAACAAAAGAAAGAAAGAAAGAAAGAAAAGCCTGTAAATACTTCAAGGTTTGTTTGTTGACCTTTAGGAGTATTTTCCAGTTGGATCTGATGGGGTGCCATGCCCTGGCCCCAAAGTCTATTTTTGGTATTCCCTCAGGACTTCCTTGCTCTGCTCCCCTTGCTGTTCTGTTGCACACCCTTAGTGTTTTGCCTCGGTGTGGTGGGGTCAGCTCAGGTACAAATCCCACACTGTGTCTCCAGTGCTGTCCCATGTAGGGCTATGGATCATGCAGGATGTTGCATCTCATACTGGGGCTGGCCATATGGTCCTCTCTATGCATGGGCTGTTCTAAGCAGGACTATTGTCCTCTGAGCTTGATGGGCCAGGGTGTGCTCCACTCCCTTCCTCTCCCTTCATTTGCTTCTGCTTCCGTCTGGGTATGGTAGGTTGGTTCCTTTCCCCCACCAGACCTAGTGTCATTCTCTGTGGCACTCCCTGCCTTGATGGGGGTCAGGCTGGTTCTGGTTGGGGCTGGGCATATAGTCCAGTCTTTTCATGGATTCCTCCATGTGTTACATTGCCCTCCTGGTTTGGCGTGTCATGGTGGTGTCTGTATGCACATTCTACTTCTGTGGGGACACAACCAATACTCTCCCCCTGGGTGGGTTAGTGCCCTGTTCCCCCCATGTCATCATCTCAGTTTCTCCCCACCCTTATTCTCCCTCCTCCTTCCCCCTTTCCCCTTCTTTATGTTGGACTCACATGTACTTCTCTGGGTGTGGTCTGCCCTCCCCCCAACTACGTATGCTTCCACCTGTTTATTGTGAGATAAGTGTTTATTCTTCTATTCCTGCAGTGCTGATTGTACTTACCTCAGGGGACTCATGTTAAACCTGTCCTTTTGAGATTAATTTACCTCACTCAACATGATTCCTTCCAACCCTTCCCATGAAACGACCTGTTTCATGTGATCATCCATGCTTTTCAGTGCTGCATAGTACTCCATTGTGTGTAAGTGCCCGAGTTTACTAATCCACTCATCTATTGATGGAAACTTAGGCTGTTTCCAAGTCTTTGCGACTGTGAATTATGCCACAGTAAACATTGGAATGCAGATGACTGGTCGTGTTTTATTTGATACCTCCTCTGGGTATATGGTCATAAGGTAGATTAATTTCCATTTTCTTTAAGTATCTCTAGATTGCTTTCCACAGTGGATATACAAATCTACATGACCACCAGCAGTGGAGAAGGGTTCCTACTTCCCCACAGCCCCTCCAACACTTGTTGCTCTCTGATTTGCTGATTTGGGCTAGCCTCAGGGGTGTTATGTGGTATCTCATGGTTGTTTTAATTTGCTTTTCTCTTATGGCTAATGACAGGAACACTTTCTCATATGCTTGTTGGCCATATGGGTCTCCTCCCTAGTGAAAGTTCTTCTGCCCACTTCCTTAGGGGGTTAACTGTTTTCCTCTTTTTGCAGGCCATAGTAATGAGCCCTTTGTCCGATGTATCATATTAAAAATCCTCTCCCAGTCTGTGGGTTGTCT